GGTGGGGGGCGGGGGTGGGTGCTGCGCTGCCGCGGAGCTGCTACTCGGCGCGTTTTGCATGAAGATGGCGGCTCCCACCGCCAGCAAGGCAGCCTCCCTGGGCTGTAACAACAAGCCTGCGTTCCCGGAGCTGGATTTCAGGTCGGGAGCTCGGGTGGAGGAATTGAACAAACTCATCCAAGAATTTACGAAGCACGACCAGCGGGAATACGACGACCAGAGAGCGCTGGAGATTCACACAGCCAAGGATTTCATCTTTTCCATGCTGGGTAAGGAGGAAAAAGGGGGAGGTGTGTGTGTGGTGGGAAGCGGAGTAGAAAACCTATTCCCCCTTCTCGACCTCTTCCCTTCTCGGTTTCCTTCCCGAGCCGGTGCCTGGGGTATAAGCCATCTCCGTTCCGCCTCTCTCTTCTTTCTCCGCGGAAAGCCGAGCTGCCTGCCCTCCCCTCCTTACTGTACTTTACGCCGTGTCTCCCTTTCCCCCTGTTCGCTTGCTCTTTTGTTAATTTCTCCGCCACCGGGGGCTGGCAGGCAGGTGAGGCGTTCGCGGTGAAGCTTTGCACTGTTGGGGGAAGCCCCTGGGAGCGAGTGCGGTCCAGGTGAGCCCCTGAGGTGCCTTCACTCGAGGGATTTGGCTGCCGGAGGCAGGGACCTGCGCCTTCCCGACGCCGGCTCTTGGGTGCTCTCCCGAGCTGGGGAGCGGAGACGGCTCAGGGCTCTGGCTTGGCGCCCGAGCGACAAGTTGCTTCTCTCGTCTCGCGGCGCGGCGCTGTCATGCCGAGCCCCCGGTGGCCAAACTTGTTGGGTGTTCCCGAGTCACCCGCTAAAGTAGTCTGGGCGTCCGGAGTTCCTGCAACTTTGATTTGCAAATTGACTTCCCTTTAAAGCGTTCCGAAGCATTTCCGGTGCTTCTCCCGGGCTCTCGCTGAGCTCGGAATTCCTAATTCCCAGCTCTTCTGTGACCGGGCGCCGAGCTCTGGCCGCAGAGGAGCGCCGGTTCCCTGCTCTTTGTGTATTGTCTTAGCGCTGACCGACGGAGGTGCCCAGAATTTCCAACCCCGGAGACGTCGGGGGCTAGAAAATGTGCCCCCCACTCCCACCTCCAGCACCTCACCTACGGCTCCTGAAACATGATTGAATGCTCTGTAAAGGAACATAATTGAGCCAGGCCCGGGAGACCGAGCCCACCCTCCCCAGGTGTCCTGCCGTTGGGATTATTGCTACTGAGGTGTAGTGTGAGTTTGCCAGGCGCCTGGGTTGTAGCTTGCGGCTCCGCCAGTGGATCCGTGGCTGTCATGCGGTGCGTGGCCCGCGGTCAACATTCCGCAGAACTGGTACTCCAGGGTAGTGCTGCTCTAACGCTCGTCTCTGTGTGTTCTCTACAAATAGGTCAGCCAATTTTCCGGGTGTTGAAACATTTGATTGGAAAAGGTCTTTTGGCCACAGAGGAAAACAGGGCTTTTCTATTTCTCCTGCAGTCTACTTGGGTTTCAGTCGGCTGTTGCTGCTTCTATCCTGGGATACGTTTTTCCTTCTAGGTTTTCTTCTTCCTTACTGCCCAAGGAGGGGGTAATACAGACTGAACGTGTCTGTGTCGGCTGGTAGTTGTTCACGCGTTGGGAAGTTGGATGAAACATGTTAAAACTCTAGGATGGTTTTTACCTTTTGCGCCGCACTCTCCAAGTGTATCCTACGTTGCGTATGGGGTTGAAAAACTCTTTTTATTGACAGATTCGACCGTTCAACTATTTAGATGAATAGATGAATTAAATATATATATGTATATATATTTAAATTCATAACCTGGTAGGAGTGAGCTTCCAGAGGGAAGCCTAAAATGCTTACAAAGCCAGAAGCCAACATAGTGATTGTCGGGAAGGTGGGGACACACACAGAAGGCTGAGGGCAGGTATTTAAGTTGTTTAGTCAATCATAGCTTTTCTCTGTGGCACAAATAATGGAAGTCTGCCATTGTGTTAATACAGCCCCAGATCATTTCTGACGTCACTTGCGTAGGTCATTTACTAGAAGAAGGTACTGGGTCACCACCAGTTAGGGTAGTCATAGGTGTCATAGGTCAGGAAATGGGATAATGTAGGGAGGGTAAGTTTAAGTGCCTGGCTCATTAGGAACTTCTGTGCTTAACTCCATAGCTGATACACTGAGTCAGCAAAGCTTTTATCCAAATATAAAGAAGTAAATTATTCTAGGGTGCTTAATTTTTGCATGTGTTTAATGCCATGGGTGGCATTGTGTTGACAGGCAAACTAGATTTGCTTCTATTCCTTTTTACCCAGTTGACCTTGCAAGCAGTCTTTCTTGCCCCCTGGGAATTTAGCATTTCCACCTACAGGAGAGAAAAGCCAGGAGAATGTCATTTAAGCCTTTTGCCCCTCTGGACACTAGAAGGCAGATGGCGAAATGAGCTTGCCTGTGTGTGGTGCTGCATTCATTTGCGAGTTCCTTGCTTTCCTTTAATGAGTTGCTGGCTGCTCTAGACAAGTAGAGGTTTGGCGGCAGCAAGGGTTCCTATGTGGATTTACTTTTTCTAAAGCAGATTTTGGCTTGGCTTAAAGAACAAAATCATTTTTTTGTACACGTTGTTTCACTTGCCACAGCCTTGGTTCTTTAATGAATATGCAAATGAAGTCTCTTAATGACCCCTAGCTTGTTAAGGTGTCACTTGGGTGGCACCAGGCCCTCATTTCAGGGAGTTGGGGGGGCAAGTCCTCTTGGCTTTGTTCTGTATCCGAGCTGCACCTGAGGATTGTTAGCAGCTTACAGATATTATCCCCTCACGCAGAATGAAGTGGCCAACCATGAATTGGGTGCAAGCCTCTTTAGTGGAGCTGAGAAAAATACTGCCTCATGTTTCAGGCAGTTGGCAGGGGTGAGGCATGTTACTCTCTTTCTGTAAGATTGTTAGCCAAGTCTGAAGCCCCTCCAGCTTCACAGATCCTTTTCATTTTATCTCATTTGGAGGAATTTTACACTGAAGAGCAAGGAGGTGGTAGACAGCTGTCGTGATCAATGACCTGTCAACACCAAGGCACTCCACTGTCTTATGAAAGCAGGGTTCCGTACAAGCTGTGGGGTTGATCTGAGCCTGCTGGTGGTCACTCTGGTCTCTGGGGTCTGTCCTGATGCTCTCTGTAGAGATTCTGATTTTTTTTGGAGGCAGGTGTTAGCTGCCATTGTCTAGATTCACTTCTTATTCCTCTATACCTTGGTCTTTTAGGAGAATGATTGGTGTTATTAGCTACTTAATATTTGAGAGCCCAGACTATGCGAGAGGCTGGCAGTGCATAATAAACACCATTTATCAAAATTCAGGGAAATTGCCAGAGTTCATTAATGTTTTAATAATATTTGGTATTTGCATAATGTCTCCGCCAGCTCTTTTGTTATCTTCATTCCCTGGTGAGGCTGGATGGAGACTGGTTTGTGTCCCCATTGAACAGATGCAGAACAGGGGGTATGCAAATGCTGGAGAAGGCAGGAAAGAGACAAGCCGTCACCTAACCTACAGACCAAGTGGTCGGTACCATGGCATGATTTTTACGGTAGTTAATCATTTACTAATTGTCTTCTCAGGGCCAGGACCTGTCTCTTATACACATCTAGATGTGTATAAGAGACAGAGGCAGGGACCTGCGCCTTCCCGACGCCGGCTCTTGGGTGCTCTCCCGAGCTGGGGAGCGGAGACGGCTCAGGGCCCTGGCTTGGCGCCCGAGCGACAAGTTGCTTCTCTCGTCTCGCGGCGCGGCGCTGTCATGCCGAGCCCCCGGTGGCCAAACTTGTTGGGTGTTCCCGAGTCACCCGCTAAAGTAGTCTGGGCGTCCGGAGTTCCTGCAACTTTGATTTGCAAATTGACTTCCCTTTAAAGCGTTCCGAAGCATTTCCGGTGCTTCTCCCGGGCTCTCGCTGAGCTCGGAATTCCTAATTCCCAGCTCTTCTGTGACCGGGCGCCGAGCTCTGGCCGCAGAGGAGCGCCGGTTCCCTGCTCTTTGTGTATTGTCTTAGCGCTGACCGACGGAGGTGCCCAGAATTTCCAACCCCGGAGACGTCGGGGGCTAGAAAATGTGCCCCCCACTCCCACCTCCAGCACCTCACCTACGGCTCCTGAAACATGATTGAATGCTCTGTAAAGGAACATAATTGAGCCAGGCCCGGGAGACCGAGCCCACCCTCCCCAGGTGTCCTGCCGTTGGGATTATTGCTACTGAGGTGTAGTGTGAGTTTGCCAGGCGCCTGGGTTGTAGCTTGCGGCTCCGCCAGTGGATCCGTGGCTGTCATGCGGTGCGTGGCCCGCGGTCAACATTCCGCAGAACTGGTACTCCAGGGTAGTGCTGCTCTAACGCTCGTCTCTGTGTGTTCTCTACAAATAGGTCAGCCAATTTTCCGGGTGTTGAAACATTTGATTGGAAAAGGTCTTTTGGCCACAGAGGAAAACAGGGCTTTTCTATTTCTCCTGCAGTCTACTTGGGTTTCAGTCGGCTGTTGCTGCTTCTATCCTGGGATACGTTTTTCCTTCTAGGTTTTCTTCTTCCTTACTGCCCAAGGAGGGGGTAATACAGACTGAACGTGTCTGTGTCGGCTGGTAGTTGTTCACGCGTTGGGAAGTTGGATGAAACATGTTAAAACTCTAGGATGGTTTTTACCTTTTGCGCCGCACTCTCCAAGTGTATCCTACGTTGCGTATGGGGTTGAAAAACTCTTTTTATTGACAGATTCGACCGTTCAACTATTTAGATGAATAGATGAATTAAATATATATATGTATATATATTTAAATTCATAACCTGGTAGGAGTGAGCTTCCAGAGGGAAGCCTAAAATGCTTACAAAGCCAGAAGCCAACATAGTGATTGTCGGGAAGGTGGGGACACACACAGAAGGCTGAGGGCAGGTATTTAAGTTGTTTAGTCAATCATAGCTTTTCTCTGTGGCACAAATAATGGAAGTCTGCCATTGTGTTAATATAGCCCCAGATCATTTCTGACGTCACTTGCGTAGGTCATTTACTAGAAGAAGGTACTGGGTCACCACCAGTTAGGGTAGTCATAGGTGTCATAGGTCAGGAAATGGGATAATGTAGGGAGGGTAAGTTTAAGTGCCTGGCTCATTAGGAACTTCTGTGCTTAACTCCATAGCTGATACACTGAGTCAGCAAAGCTTTTATCCAAATATAAAGAAGTAAATTATTCTAGGGTGCTTAATTTTTGCATGTGTTTAATGCCATGGGTGGCATTGTGTTGACAGGCAAACTA